TCGGCGCGGCGGCCGCAGGGGGACAGCACCAGGCTCGGGTGGGCCGTGCTCGGGTCGAAAGTCAGCTCCTTCACTGCCGGAGAGACCGTCAGGCCTGTTAGCCTCCGCGAGCCTTTTCCACAACCCACCTATGGGCCAGCCTGGCCTCCTCTAACCCTCCCGGCCCTCGGGGTGGGGGTGGGGGTGGGGGTGAACCCCTCTGCTGACTGGCTGCGGCCAAAGACTGCCTCCCTGAGCTGCCGTTTGCTCGGCTGTGAGCTGAGGCCCTGACTGCCTCCTTCCAGGTTGGGGTGGATTAGGTCGGTACAGGGCAGACAGCACCATCTAGGTCCAGGTCACAGGGAGGAGACAGGAAGCCTGGTCCGCAGCGGCCCCTGTCTCACCGCTGTGTGACCTCAGTCCGTCTCTGGGCCTTAGTCTTCTCTTGGATAAAACAGAGTCCCCCCATTCCCACCCCCGCAGGGCAGCCAGGCTGCCCACCACATGTACATGGCCTGGAGCTCTGGAGGCTGAGCCTTTGAGCCGTTCCAGCCACAGGCCACCAGAGTCAGTGTCTGGCCCAGGCCAGTGCCAGGGTTCCAGCTCTGCAGACCCTCAAGCCCCATAAGCAGGGATTGTCCTCTCCACTGTCCACAGGGACAGAGCCTAGACAAGGAGCACACAGGGTTCAAACCCCGCGTCCCCTGCTGCCAGCAGCAGCGCCTTCCTGTAAGCAGCATCCTCTCCCCTCCCGTCAGGCACCCACCTATAAATCCCATGCCCTCAGGGGTCCTTCTCTTAGCAAGTACCAGGGTACAGAGAGACCCTAGAGCAGCGGTTCTCAACCTGTGGGTCGCAACCCCTTTGGGGGTCGAACGACCCTTTCACAGGGGTCGCCTAAGACCATCGGAAAACACATCTATAATTACATATTGTTTTTGTGATTAATCACTATGCTTTAATTATGTTCAATTTGTAACAATGAAATTGGAGGTCACCACAACATGAGGAACTGTATTAAAGGGTCGAGGCATTAGGAAGGTTGAGAACCACTGCCCTAGAGCAAGCATGTCAAACTCGCAGCCCGCAAGCCACATGCGGCCCACAACCAATATTTTTGCAGCCCAGCCAATATAACAGTATGTAAGAAACGTTTTAATAAAAATTTCATAACTTAATTTTTACACAATCCTGTTATATATATATATATATATATGGCTAATATGCTAAACTGTCCAACCTTCCCGGTAATGATGTCACATGGCAATGCCTGGCTTCCTCTCCCTAGCAACTAGCCTCCTTGCAGTTTCTTCAGCCCAGGAACACAACTTGCTTTATAGCCAGCTGCAAACATTTCACACTTTAACCAAAGGTCTGTGAAGCATTTTCTGTGCCTCATCTCATTTGATCCTCACAGGAGTCCTGGAACAGGTAGCCAGGAGACTCAATGGAATCCTATTTTCTTTTCATTAGCCGGAAAATGGAGATTTAGAAAGCTTAGAAACTTGACCCGACTGAAAAGAACTAAGAAATGGTGGACCTTGAAAATAACTTCAGGTTTTCTCACTGTGTAGAATATAGTCAAACACTGCTACAGTTAAATATTTTACCCTTTGTTCTCCCTGCGTGATCTACAATAATAATCTGCTTCATGTTGATATTTACTGCTGTGTTGCTGACAATTACCTGAAAGAGAAGTTTGGGTGCTTCACTGGCCTGGAAAAAGTTTAGCTAAATCAGAAAGCAGGTCTAATTAAGCAAGTTTATTCTATATCTATAAAAAGCTAAGTTGACTTGCAGATGCAAGATACATATAAAGCTCTCACTGGCACCAATCGCATGTGTGTGTTTCCATCTGTCATTGTCGATAGTGAATTTGGTTGACACGTCTATTATAGAGAAAGGGTGAGTAGTGATATTAAAATATTTCTTCTAATTAATTTCCTTTTGATGTTCACAAATTTGTGCACCGGGCTACTAATTATTAATAATGAACTACAATGTTCCCTAATGACTGATTACTATAATCGTGTTGCATTCATTTCCCTTATGACTTTACACGTAGGCACACCATTTCTCTCCACTAATACTAGCAGCGAATATCTTAGCAGCCAATTGCCACATCATTAATCTTGGACTGACTTGTTTGGTGTGCGAAACAGGATATATTTCACTTTCAAAGAACAAGGAAAATAGGTTTATAAGCATGACACTTATTAATTTGTGCAGGTATTCAGTGTCTGGTAAGTTAATGTTCAAGCAAAAATATTAATTTTTATTAAAATGTTCTATTTTATGTTCACGACTACTCATTTAGTTCAGCCCTTTGTATTCAGCATCTCTCTATTGAAATAAACCTACGTTTCCATGAAAGTTGAAACTTTTGTTTCTTTTCGGCCCACATAAACTTAAACCTTGTTTATTTGGCCCGTGTTAGCCTTTGAGTTTGACATGCTTGCCCTAGAGCAGTGATGGCGAACCTTTTGAGCTCAGCGTGTCAGCATTTTGAAAAACCCTAACTTAACTCTAGTGCCGTGTCACATATAGAAATTTTTTGATATTTGCAACCATAGTAAAACAAAGACTTATATTTTTGATACTTATTTTATATATTTAAGTGCCATCTAACAAAGAAAATCAACCAAAAAAATGAGTTCGCATGTCACCTCTGACACGCATGTCATAGGTTCGCCATCACTGCTCTAGCGTCTAGAGGCAAAGGGGCAACAGGCACCTTCTTCTGTGACCTTCTTCGCTGAGACTGGGAGGCCTCTCTGTGTGTAGCTGCGGCTTCCCATCAACCGCATGGTTACAAACATAACATGCCTCCCCGTACCTGGCATCAGAGCACGGAACATCTTCCTCCACACCTGGAATTTGAAGTCATCTGAGATGACAGGCAGCTGGATGTCCAGACGGGCAGGCGGCGGGGACTCTGCCAGGATCTTCTGCAGCCTGGGGGGGATGGGGAGTGTCTGTGAGGGGACTTCCGGAGGAGGCATGGGGTGGGGGAGGGCAAGAAGCAGTGCCCAGGAGAGAGGACAAGGCTGTGGAGTTTCAGGACCTCTCCACATCATTCCTTTGCTGAATTTTCAGTTTGGAAAGATGGAAAGTTCTGGCCCCAGCCGGGTGGCTGAGTTGGAGCGTTGTGCCATACAACAAAAGATTTCGGGTTCGATCCCCAGTCGGGGCCAGTACAGGAGGCAACCAAATGATGTTTCTTTCTTACATCAATGTGTTTCTCTCTCCCTCCCCCTTTTCTCTCTCTACAATCAATAAACATATCCTTGAGTGATCATTTTTTTAAGATGAAATGTTCTGGAGATGGATGGTGATGATGGTTGCATAACAACATGAATGTACTTAATGACACTGAATCGAAAATGTGCACTAAAAAATGGTTTGCCACCGGGGTAGCTCAGTGGTTGAGCATCAACCCATGCATGCACTGGTTTGATTCCCGGTCAGGACACATGCCCAGGTTGTGGGCTCGATCACCAGTAGGGGACGTGCAGGAGGCAGCTGATTCATGTCTCTCTCATCCGTAATTCTATATCTCTCGTCCTCTCTCTTCCTCTCTCTCTCTAAAATCAATAAAAACATATATTTTAAAAATGGTTTAAATGGTCAATTTTACTTTGTGTACATTTTACCACAAATTTTTTAAGTCTTTTGTTGGGATGAGGTCCAAGCCCCTCACTCTTCAGTTTGCCCACCTGCCACACCAGCACACCTTCTCTCCCTCTTGCCTTCTCTCAATGCTCTTCTCCCAGCTCTTGACCTGGCTAACTCCAGCTCGTTCCTCCAGCGTCCAACTCTAACATCCAGTCCAACTCTAACGTCCAACTCCGCTGCAAAGCCTGCCCCGGCCACCCACTGCTCTCCCAGCAGCACTGAGCACCATGATGCCTATGTCCCCGCACACCCCCCCCACCCCCCGTCTGGGAGGTTCCTAAGAAGGACCCCATCACATTCATTTCTATGTTCAAAACAAAGTGCAGGGAAATCGCAGAGGACCGAATGGAATCGGCAGGCACAGGGAGAGTAGCGGGTGAGCCAGCCAGTGTCCCTGAAGACCAGGGCAGGTTGGGGAAGGGGCGGGGCCAGGATGATCGCACCTGCTGGTCACCAGGCAGTATTTCTGGAGAGAGAAAAAGAAAACGGAGGTGAGGCAGCAGGAAAGACACTGGACACGACTGAGGATGGGGTGGGTGGACCAAGAATGCTGAGTATGGGGTCAGGAAAAATCAGAAAAGCCAAAAGAAACCCAGAATTCAAGGCCACCCCTAGCCCTTTATCTGTGTGAACTAGAAAAGGGACCCCTTCCTCAAGAAACAGTACTCTGTGGCAGAAGACTGTCTTGAGAAATAAACAAACCCACAGCGTCTGTTATGTGAAGGGTCCCCCTTAGACATAGCGGCCTTGTGCAGCGCCCAGCCTAAGCAACATACAGCAGCCCTGGGCGCACCCCTCCTCCCTGTGTGACCCTGGCTGGTCCCTGCCCCTCTCTGGACCTCAGGGCCCCTGCCTGACCCTGGGATGAGCTCTCCGGGGCCTGGACCCGGGCCGAGGGGCAGCGAAGGACGGTCACCCCTGCTCACCGTGAGGAACTCAGTCTGCGGCTTGTCTGCCACCTCCTCCAGCACCTTCTCCATCTGCCGCAGCTGCTCCAGGTAGGAGTTCAGGCTCCCCAGCTCCTTCCGCAAGGCGACCCCCGCCTCGCCCCGCACCCGCTGCGCCTCCCGGTCCAAGGAGCCCTCCAGTGCATCCAGGAACAGCCGCATCTTGCCCAGCTGCTCGCCCACCGCCTCCTGGAACTGACGCACTGTCTCCTGTGGGGCAGACAAGCCAAAGCCGTGGGCTGGGGAGGCCTAGCCCGACCCGCCCCAGGCTCTGCCACGCTGGGCCCTCACCTCCACCTCCAAGAGCTGGTGCTCCAGCACAGCCACACTCTTCTCCTTGCGCGCGCATGCCTCCTGCAGCTGCAGCTTCTGCTGGGGGAGCTGGGTCTGGGGGTGAGACAGAAAGAGGCGACGCTGCTGCTCCCCCACCTGAACCCGCCCTCTGTGTCTCAGCCTCAAGGCCAGCTCCTCCTCCAGCCAAGCTGGCTCTTACCTTTCCCCAAACCCACGTGCAGGTCGCCAGGCTCTTGTCAGTTCTGGTCCTGATGCCTAGAGCGCCTGCCCCTCCACTTGCCTATTCAGGGGAGGTCCTCCCCAGCCCCTTGGCAGTCAGCCCCCGCCCCCCTCAGGGCTTTGTGAGAAAGACACACACAAATGTGACTGGCTCTCCTCCACCAGCGGGGAATGAAGCTGGCGCGCAGGCTCCGGAGGGTGAGTGTAGGGTGTTTGCAGTAGAAACGCAACCTCCTCCGATTCCCGGACAACGGAGCTCCTAACACCTCCTGCCAAAGCCACCCTGCGCTGGGGCTGCAGGGCCATGGGGTCAGACAGGTCCAGTCCCGCCTCCACGGCTTCCAACTTCTGGGTCCCCTTCTGTGGGAACAGCCTGGCACCTCACCTGACGGCGCTACAGTGGCGGCCTCCTCCCACCCCCTAAGGGGACCGGGGAGCCCCTCGGCGCCGGCGCCAACAGTCTCCTCCCCCGACGTCCTGGGAGCCG